AAAAACATAGTAAAACCTATATAAGCCGTAATCGCACGATACAGAATACTTTTCATGTTTTTTAAACACAGAAAAGCAATCCGTTCCGAAGAAATGTTTTCCGTTTAGGCAGGTTTTCGTTTTATGCGGGTTCCGTTTTGCTGTATTCGGTACCGTGAGATTCCGGTTTACACAGGTTTTTACTGTACAAAATTCTTTTCTGAAAAGGGCGTAATTTACTTGATTTTTTCTGTAATATTAACTCCGTAAGAAACATTATAAAAATGAAACATTTCGTGATATTTATAGACAAATAATCGAACATTTACACTCTAGAATATAGTAATTATAAAGATGGATTGACAATTTCCGTTCAGTAGAAAATTAAGTATCGTGTAACATATAATTAGAAAACATATCGATATTTCTTATTATAGATTTTTCTACAAAAAATGGGAGGGGGACATTCTTATATAAACGCGAATATCGAATTTATTACGTGAAAGTTTTGCAATATCCAGCAAGAATTTTAAACGTCGAAGTAGTTATAAATATCTCATATTATATATATTTTTTCCATCTTTCAATGTTTAAACTTTGAAAGTATTTTATAGTAAATGCTAACAAAAGATCGGATTATACTTGTTGCTATTTTCTAAGTATTCGCAGATTCTTTGAAGGGATTTTACTATATAAAAATATAAAAATTTTGTTTGGAAAACTTTTCATAAATCTCAAAAATATTATATATGTATATATATTTCTCCCGATAAAAATAAAAGTTTATTTAAAATATATTTTAAAAAATCTAGCAACGAGTTGCGTAACTTACCTGGCAAAAAAAACTTAAATTCTGTGTGGTGCCATCTGTTATGAGATTTTATTTTTAAAAAATTTATATAATTGATTATTATGAAATGGCATAAAGCTCAATTTTGAGGGTGGAGACGAGTTTTACATGTATAAAAAAACAAAAGTTGTAAATGCCAATAAAAACTAAAATTTTTATTAAATCTGACCCCACTCCAGATACGATACATAATTACCCTCTATCTCCCCACCCCCTCAACCTTTAACCACCAAAATTTAACAGAATCTATGTTCATAATACACAAACTCGCCTGCAAAATTTCAGAAAATTTAGACAAAAGGAATAGTAATTATTAAGCTTTAAATTTGGTTAACAAAATTGTCCTACATACACTAACACCCATACACGGAAAAAATCTCAAATTTCTTTTCATTTCACGACATTCCAAGATCCCCCGAGTCCAAAAATGCAAAAATCTTCGAGAGTTGTTTTAAAATTTCACGTTAAAATACATTAATTTTGGAATTTATAACATTAAAAGTTTAGAAAGGAAAAGTATTTATATAAAGGGTTTGCTCAAAAGTCAGTTAACCTCGTTGCACTTTGTGTGTTCCAGGTACACTTGAGAATATGAATTGTAAACTGAGTTTAGAACAATACATTTTTCGTTTAAAAAATTGCTAAAGGCACGATTTAAAAATATCTAAGGAAATAATTTAGCAAAAGTTTTGATTACGATATTTTAAATAAAATTTGGATCTTTTGCAGACAGTCATTCGCCGTTAGGCGAAGACAATTCAACAATAGGGTAATTGAAGAGATGAGAATTGATCAAATTTTCTCTGGCCAATCAAAACGTGATCCTTATCTTCGACAATCTGTATCTAACCAACTAGCGAAACGAATACATATCTCTTCTGTAAAGGATTTTTTCAAAATAACAAAACCGAAATCTTTCATTAGGAAGTCTTACAGTACGTTAACGTTACAATAAGCTCCGAAGCTATAATTTATTAGAGGACCTTTTTCCTTACTAAATAATAAATTTAAAAATGCGAGGCCCTGAGCTGTATTCTGGTGAAGTCAGGACCTAAGCTGTAGCTCGTTTAATGTACAGTACATGTAAATTCGGCCTACCTATCACCTATCTTCCATAATATAATAGACTCTTGTTATATTATCAATATTTAATGGAACAAAATATGTAAAAATATATAAAATTTTCATGTAAAGCAGAAAATAATTGATAAATTGGTTTTAAAATTAATTTTTCCAAATCTTGTNAATTACCTTAGAGTCTTTGGGAAGAAAATTATGTTAAATAAATTAATGTTTGATGAAAAATATATAGATTTTGAAAAATACCTACTATAGAACCTGTGTAAACCGGAATCGAACGATACCGAATTTTTTTTCCGGTTTGGCACGTTTTCGTTTTATTTAGGTTTCGCTTCGGACAGGTTTTACTGTATTTATTTTTATTGTAAAGTTTATGAAAAAAGAAAAACAGTTTTTTACTCTATATTTATTTAAAAACGTTGAATATTTTAGTAAAAATTTCAAAAATTATCCATTTTCTTGCACCTGAGTAAAAGAATTTCTTTATGTTTATGTTAAATATTTTAATTTAATAATGATATTTTATTAAAATATAATTTTTTACTCTTCATTATTTATTCAAGAAATCACCACAAAAATTTTTCTAAAAATTTATAATATTTTTCCTGGTTTATATTTAAAATAATTTATTGATAATAATTTTCTAACACGTTCAAGAATTAAATATTAAACTATAAAAACAGCGTTATATAAATTACGCATATACGGAGGGTAGGCTCTGGACGATAGACAACCAGCAGATATGATCGTCTGATCGCGAGACAAACATGAAAAGCTGTAATATTGTCTTTGTTCATCATCCACAGATTGATGGAAGCTTCGTTACAGAATCTTGTCGCTTCCAGTACCATTGGCAAGCAACTAGGACAGACAAATTTGCATGCATGGCAGCCACTACGCGACCTGCCGTTAATACCTTAACACTGTTGGCTTTGATTGTTGCTGTATTTTACTGTGACAGATAAGCATGTACCGCCACGAACTGGCAGCGTATCTTTAGCGACGAATCCTATTTCTTTTTTGGAACGGATAAAAACTACGTTATTGTGTGGAAGAACACAGGAAAGAGATTCACTCCCACGTTTAGTGTTGAGCTGCACACTACTTCCATTACTGGCGTGCTAGTCTACAGCTATCTCGTAGGACAGTCGGTCACTCAGTAATGATAGGAGGGATATCGGCGGAACAGCCGTAATCCTGTCCGTTATGCGTTGTCTTTCGTGGCAAGCTTGCAATAAGCAAAATAATGCTTAGCTATACACAACTAGAATTTCCCAGGAATGTCTGTTCAACGAACTTCCTTGAATTGTCCGGTCTACACGATTTGTCGTCCGTCGAGCATTTGTAAAATCAGATGGAATGCTAGCTTAGACCATCTATGAATATGAAATATCTGAAGCGCAGTTGTAATATCTAAGCATATCCGTCATAGGAGAGAATACTGTACGTGCTTTCCTTTGTATTTGACCTTATTGCCACAGGTATTTAGGCAATAGGAGGTTGTGCACGGAGTACTAAAGTTTGGTCTTTTAATTTAGATTGATAAAAATTTCATTTTTTAATATGAATTTATTTAAAACAATTACTACAATGCGTTATTTTTAATACATAATTCCATTTAATTTTATTGGCATTTTAGATAAATTAACAGATGAATCATAACGCTTTCTTCTTAGGCATGAGCCTGTAGGTATAATTTATATAGTAAGATCTATGTAAAACGGAATTGCACGGTACTGAATATTTTTCCTCTTAAGCAATCTTCCGTTTTATTCAGGTTCCGCTTTGGACAGGTTTTACTGTATACATTTTAAAATGTAAGACAGGGAATCGATAAAAATCTAGAAATATCTTCAATTTGTAATCAAATCGAATTCTGTATTTTTTTCGTATTGTTACACATCACACGTCTTTCAATGGTTCGAAATAGTGACGATACAATTGTGGGGCCAGAAGCGATAACATACTCACCATTTTGTTTGCTTGCACTTTAGAATGATCAGAAAAGAAATTCAATGAAAGTTCTTCTTTGACATGGCTTTAATAGGTTTTCAACTTCAGTACTGATTCCTTTCGCCATACATCAACTTCCCTTTCTTTCTTGCTTTTACTTGCTCCAGGCCTGGATTTTACAGTAAACTCGTAATTTTTGATACGTTTTGTAAAATCTAGGATGTTAGAAAATATAAAAATATATTCTTTAATATAACTTTTCATCAAAGGAATAATTTTCTTGCATTGTGAAACGTTAATATTTTTGATAATGAATAATGAGTAACGTAAACTATGATTAGTTATGGTAATTATAGTAAAACCTGTTCAAATAATCTGTTTAATACAGTAAAACCTGCCTGATAGGAAAATAATTCTTTCGGAACGGAGTGATTTTCTATGTTGAAAAAAACCCTGTTTAAAATCGGAAAAATATTCAGTACCCTGCGATTCCGGTTTACACAGGTTTTAGTATATTACTTTACTACCTTATTAAATTTTAATATTGTTAATTTAAGAAAGTATTACAATAAAAATATTCGACATTTAGAAAGTTATTAAATATTTTTACTTTTTACAAGCGAATATTTCTGTAAATCAAAGTAAAATCAATATCTTCTTAAGAAGATAATTTTTCAGTATTCAGTTCAGAAATGCTGGACATTTAGAGTGGTTCAAAAGTGAGTTAAACGAGAAGTACTGCTCTTTAAAAAATCATTTTAAGGACGGTTAAAACAGGTTTGAAACAGTTGACACGTCGTTACTCGTTCTTAAAATAATATTAAAATATATCTGTTAACTGACTTTTGGACCACCCTGTATTTTGAAGTTAGTGATTTGATACATTTAAATGCTTCAAAATAAATATCAAAATGACTGAAGTGTTTTTTTAGATAAATATAAACGTAAATATAGGCCCCACAATAAGAATTTAAAAGTAGATTTAATGTAGGGACCTTAAGAAAAATTTCATGTTTATAATTAATAAGTGTCTTGCGATTTAATGTCATATACAGTAAAACCTGTGTAACCTGAATCGCAAGGTACCGAATACTTTTCGGCAAGTTTCCGTTTTAAACAAGTTCTTTTTTTAACATAGAAAATCGCTGCGTTCCGAAGAAATTTTTCCGCTTAGGCAGGTTTTATTGTATTAAACCTGTCCGAAACGGACCCTTTACAAAGCAGAAGATTTAGGCACTTACAGGTACCGTGGCGTTTTATTTTAGAAAGGTTTTTATCTTACTATTTAAATTAAATTCTTAAAGGTCAAATTATATAAAAGAAATTGATTTAAGACTTTTTAAATAATAAACACCCTTTTCATTTATTCTTTTGATTATAGATAAATTTCTGACTCGATTCTTGATATTATTCGTTAAATTACACATTTCTAGACCATTGCATTTTGTTTTGTCCAGAACAAATAATATTTCCATATGAAACAGAATGAGGAGATAAATTAACATTCGATTTCCACATTCATTCACGTTTATTTCCTTTCATACCAATAACACTGGAGCAGGAAATAATACTGCATTCATTTATAATGCATTTATTGAAACAGATGATGTATTTCTTATCACGCATGATTTTATTATATTATATACGGCATTAAAAATTATACTTATGTCTGGATATTTCCTACATTTAAAACTATGTAATAATTATTCTAATGCATTTTTACTTTTCCGGTTGTTATATATAACAGAAGGAAAGTAGGACCATCAGTTTACAAATGATCCCCCCAGATTTTCACGTTTCTAGATTCAGGGAATCTTGAAATGCGAAGAAATTTGGAGGTATTCTGTATGTATGGATATTAATGTATGTGGCGGTTTACCCAATTTAAAGCTTAATAATTCCTGATCCTTTTGTCGAAAATTTTTGAAATTTTGCAAGGAGGTTTGTGTATTGGAGACATTGATTCTGTTAAATTTTGGTGGTTAGCGGTCTCTGGTTGGGGAGATTAAGGAGGGTCGTGTATCATATTTCGCATGGGGTCGGACTTAAAAATTTTGTTATTAGCATTTACAATTTTTTAAAAACAATAAAGCTCACCTCTGATCTCAAAGTTAAGAATTTTGCCATTTTATAATAATTAATAATATATAAAGTCTTTTACAATAAAATCTTATAACAGATGGCGTCGCAGACAATTTGAAGATTTTTGTCGGGAAAGTTACGCAGCCCGTTGCTGGTGGCTTTTTCTTTTAAAATGATAAAATATAGCTTTTCATTTTAAGTAGAAACATTTTATAACTTTACAATCTTTACATGAGTTTCTATGATTTCTAAATAATTATTTAATGAAATTTACTAAAAATCATCAAAATTTAATAAAAACCTAGTAAAACATGACAAGAATATATTTTATTAATAAATACAATTATCAATTTTCTGATTGCAGACATATACATTCCCACTTCCGTTCATCTGTCCTTCGTTAATCTCGAGAATGTAGTTAGATGAAAATCGAGACCAGATATGCAAAGCTTAGGGGTCGGAAATTAACTATATACGAACTTCCTGTCTGGATCGGAATTCACGTACGCATTCGATTTTTTCCCGGTTTAATTTACGGTCCGGTCTAAATAAAATAATTTTACTTAAGATTGGAATTTTCGAAATAAAATCTTTATTAAATTCAAGTAATAATTTTACAGAGAACAAAAATATAATAATAATAAAACCCCATTTTTATGCTAGTGCTGAATTATATATTAGTAAGTCGAAATCTTATTTTTTATGCAAACGGGATGTTTCACTATTATAAAACGAAAATAAGAAGATAAACGGAAATATATCCATAACATCTAATGCATTATTTATTTGAAAAATTTAATAAAATTGAGAATATTTGTCGACAAAAATGTTGAAACCTCCTATACTAGCAACGATATTGGATATGTGAAGTAGATATTTATATAGACTTTATGCAGATGAAAATAAGAAAAATATAATTTAAAGTAATCTAATCCAGTCGTTTTATGTTTTTATAGGATATAATGTTAAATAGGAATTAAATAAATGTATGAATAATTTTTTAGTTTTAAATATTATTTATAAAACGAGGAATAATGCGTAAAAAACAAGAATGTTTTCTGAAAAATAAAATGAAAAATACAGAAATTTTACTAAGCTTAAATGATTTTAAGATTAGTTTATTCTATTAAATATTCTGCTAAATTTAGTACATTAGTAAAGTTACTGTAAAACCTGTCCAAAACGGAAACCTGTTTAAACGGGAAAAATTCTTCAGAACGCAGCGGCTTTTCACGTTAAAAAAAAAAAACAACCCGTTTAAAACGAAAACTTGCCAAACCGGATAAAATGTTCGGTAAAGTGCGATTCCGGTTTACGCAGGTTTTACTGTAGAAAATGTTTGCACGATAGAAATAATTAGTCACCTTCAATGAACGAGCTTCAATAAATACATTAATTAAATTTAAACTGTTTAACAGTACTTTAATTTTATTAAATAATGTAAAATAAAAATACAGATTTAATTGAGTGGCTGAAAAATTAAAATTCCGATAATTAATAAGCATATAACGATTTAAACTTATATTCAGTAATTAACTCTAGAAGTATTTCGTTTAATGAAACAAGTCGAATTTAATATAAATAATAAAATGTGTTTTTAATTAAGTAAAGTTGAAATTAAATCTAATTGTACAGTTAGGAAAGTTTTCGATTAGAGTCAACAAACAACAGTGTGTGCTCTGTACAAATAAGGTGTCATTTATTTCAAAGAGGCATTGAATTTCTGACTATCTTTGACCTTTGTCTGTTCATTCAGTCTTCAGTAAACTCACTTTTCTTCTCTCGATAAGATTAGTTCAATAAACTTTTTCATAATTCGCAGCGAAATTATAACAATTCGGGTACGTTTCCACTGCTGTGAACATTAAAAAAATTTAATTTGTCTCCAATAACTAGGTCATACGGTGTACTATGTTATAAACTTCACGATAATATAGCTTTAAATATATTTTGAAATTCTTTGTAAACGTGTGAAAATAAGTTTTATATTAAATTTAAAGTAAAAATTGGACGAAAGTCTAATTTCCAGAGATAAATTAATTGGAAGAGTTGATAAATGTAAGAACTTTTTGTAATGAAATAATTTCTTTTGCAATATTCTAAACAAGTTAGTGCACTTTCAAGTAATACAAATTCGTCGCTCTGATTGGTTAGACGAGAAAAAACAAGATAGGCGTTACCATCGAAGATGCGAATTAAGTTGCGATTGGATGAGAGATTCGACCAATTCCAAAATGATTCGTTTTCCGATAATTACGCCCATCGTTACTTGTTTCTGCTTCTAACCAATCAACGGAAACAAATATACGTTGCCTATAAAGAACACTAACTTTGCAGTAAAAATTTCGTTAAGGAAAGTTGTTAAACTTTTTTATAGCCTAAGCATAATGCAGGATTCTATTATACCCAGTAGACCTATATTGTGTTAAAAACTTAACGAGGAAGGACTCGAAACACAGCTATAAAATTTAAAACATTCTGAAATATCACTTGTTAATAACGTATTTTTATCCAATTAGCTATGAAAAATCTAAAATTTGAAAGCAAAGTGTGTAATGAATGCTGTAGTAGATTTTTCATCTACAAATGAAAAATAAATAAATAGATAATTTTAAGTTTTTATATTAAAACTCTTTTTGAAAACAGATGTTAGATTTCTACAGATTATTCTAACTTGATTGTATTTGTGGTTATATATGACCACATATTTTTCCATAAATAATTAATTATTCTAGCAACGGATTAATTCTAAAATATAATTTTTAACCGTAACCGCATCTAAAATAGTACAGTAGAAGCGGAGTTCTTCAGGGTAATCCTTAACCTTCTCCCTCTGTTTCGTGGGAGATTTCTATTCTATTCTAATAAAAGACAAGAGGGGCTATCTGCAATTTAGTGCAAACTTTACCCCTGTATGAATAGGAAGGAAGAGTAAAAGAAAGTAAGAGTTAGAGAGCAGAGGAAATAAAGGAAGATAGGAAAGTGTGAAATAAGCAACCATAAGGCCCCCACAGGACCCCATGGGCGCCCGCATCGCCTTTATTAAAACAATATTTACAGAGGAATACAAATAGTTAACAGTAACATTTTTACATACAGATGCAATTAACAGAAGGATGCATATCTTTTGCATCAAAGTATATACAAACATATTAATGGATAAATAAATAATAATTGAACACAATGGATAAATACAGTTTTGGTTACATTATTAAACAGTAAATTTTTGCTTACATAATAGGAATTCGAATGGTTGGTTGAATAATTTTATACATATTTACAGTTATAACAGTTTAGAATGGGATGCAATACTTATTACATTAATGAAATATTAAATATACAACAGGTATAATTTTAAAGTAATACATTTAGTAATCAGTTGACAAAGAATTTTTGATGTAATCATACAGATCGAAATCCATAAAGTTTTAACAAGAAATTTTTACAAGATAACTTATAACTTAATAATCACACTATGTTATTCGTAGCACAATTGAATTTATATACATATAACAGTCTTTATTTTTAACATTTTTCTTTAATCTTCATCGCTTGTGAAGGAATTGTAGTTATTGTCGTCATCACTGTCATTAGTTTCTGTTGTATCTGTGTTGAGTATATTTAAATTCAGGTTACCAAACTGAGGTTCTAATGCACTATTGTCCTGTATAAACTTCTCAAATGCTTTAAAAAGTTTGTTATTCATTATAAGTTCGTTCTCTTTTGGCGGCTCGTGGGAGATTTCGAAAAATCCCTTCTTAGTGTATATTCTCGTGACGTACAGTACCCTAACTGTGTACCAAATTTCAACTTTCAACTCTTAACCATTTGGGCACTGCGCTTATTATTATCATCATCATCATCATCATCAACAACCCATCTCGATTATATATGTAGATTTATTATTTTATCATTTTGATTTAATAATTTCATACGATAATTTTTAATAGCAGAATATTATTTTTATACTACGTAAATTCTGGTTTAGACCAAAATGTGTATGAAATATTAAAAAAGTACTTAAAAAGGAAGCACGACATTTTAAATGCCCGTGGTAAAGGAATGCAATTCTCTTATCTTTGTCTATAGAAATTTATATATTGAGATAGGATTTGCTACTAAATCCTGAAAATAAAAAATAATCACAGGAAAAATAATTCA